TATATATATATATATATATATATATATATATATATATATATATATATATATATATATATATATATATATATATATATATATATATATATATATATATATATATATATATACATATATATACATATACATATATACATACACATATATATACATATATACATACACATATATATACATACACACACACACATACATACACACATACATACATGCATGCATGCATACACGCATACACACATATACATACATACATATACATATATACACATATATATACACACATATACACATTTATACATATATATATATATATATATATATACATATACACACGCACATAATTTATAGAGAGAATTATACATATATGTATGATAGACAGACAGATAGATTGATAGACATACAGACAAATAACCAAGAATCAAAATCCGTGGAGGTGCAATTTAAAATGTTATATCTCATACATACACAAACAGAGTCCATTCGTTCACACACAGTTCAGTCTGAGTGTTCTCAATGGTAGCTACTCCTTCGTCTTGGTCTCTTTGCTCTCTATGAGTCCCAGCAGAGTGGCGTCCGCCTCCAGCAGCGTCGTATCGATGGTCGCTCCCAGGAACCGCGAGGTCAACTCCATATCTTCCAGTCTCAGCCTCCCCCTGCTTCCCCGCTGGTACTTCTGCCCGTCCGTGGAGGGCCTCTTGTACACACAGTGGAACTTTCCGACAAAATCGATATACAGATCGTCATTGGCGATATGAAAGATGTTCCCGATGACGATCTTGTCTTTAGCCGGACCTATCTGCATGAGCGCGGAGTGCCGCAGGAGCGAAGCGAAGGAGGTCTCGTCTCTGGAGTTCATCCGCGCCGCTGCGCTCTAATCACCGCTCTGCTGCAGGTCCGAATGCAGCTCATATGCGGCAGCAAACCCGCTCTTCACTCTCTCGGGTGATTTATCATCTCCTCCGCTCGCATCGGAGCTGTATAATGACCTGAGCGTGGTATAAACTCGGCGTTTTGGCAGTAAAGCTGATCTGGAGCTCACGTTGTGCATCGCCTTGCAGAGCGACGCCATGTTGAAACGTCATACGCAGCAGAGAACGCTGGGAACATTTAAAAATAAGAACTTACATAAAATTGAGGGATATTGATGGGAAACATGGGATAAAGTGGGATTTTCGCAAAGTGGTTTTGGATTCATAGTGCTCATTACTATGCAAAAATATAACACTATGCTAGTACTACTACTAATACTAAAATATTACATATCGACAAAATGCAATTTTTAAGATAATTTGTAGGGCATATTTTTAGGATAATTTTTTAAAGATAAAATATCTTGGATATATTGCACAGTTTCTCTATTTGATGGTTTAATTTACAAGGATGAATGTGGGACTTGGCAAATTCTCTCGGCTTCCGTAACGTTAGTCGAGTCAATACAATACGTAACAGTTTTTTCCCGGAAGTTTATGAGCGCGTCTTCGAGAACAGAGAAGAAAACATGGAGCTCTTTGTAATTTCACCAAATTTGAGGTTTATTAACCCAACTGTCGCCCCAGGCTCGAGTGTCAGCGATCTCATCGAGCATTTTACCGTTAAAGAGGCGAGTCGATCAGCGATTACATTAGTCAAACTTGGTGGTTCAGTTTGATTTTGATGATGACTATTATGGTTAAGATGACCTAAAATGTGATTTATTTTCTCTCAGGGTGTCTCCTTCACGGATTTCTATGTGAAGAGTAATGGCCGAGTATCTCCCAGTAATGAGTTGCTACGGTCTGGAGTTGTGTACCGTGTGGAGCCTCGGTTATGTGGAGGCAAAGGAGGTAAACAGATTAGTCTACTCTAGAACATCAACATTTATCTTTTTGAAGCTTGTAAATATTAGAATATGATGGATTATTAATATCTGGCTAATTGTTATGTGGAGTTAAAAGAGAGTATAATGGTTAGGGTATTCTTTGGTATAAATATATCCCCATTTTGGACACCTTTACAGTTTGGAACGTCCTAAAAGTATATAAAGTTATGATAGAGTTCCATTAGTGTTTTTCTCTTTCAGTGTTACTTTTTCATTCATAGAATTTATATAAAGTTTTGAGCATTTAAAAGTTATTAATAAAGATTTTGTAATTTTAATGTTTTAAACTAATTTGTTTTCTAGGATTTGGCTCTATGTTGAGGGCCCTCGGTGCACAAATCGAAAAGACCACTAATCGTGAGGCCTGCAGAGATCTGAGTGGAAGAAGACTGCGAGACGTCAATCATGAGAAGGAGTAATGATGATTACCGTATCCATTTTAGCATGCTTGTTTGATTATTGTCTTAATTTTTGTTTTATGGATTAATGCACCATTAGGTCACGTTATTGCATGAATAATTGAATTTGTATGTGTTTGTATGTAGAATGGCAGAATGGCTGAAAAAGCAGGCGGATCGAGAGGCAGAGAAGGAGCAGCGTCGCCTGGAGCAGATTCAGAGGAAATTGGCTGAGCCTAAACATTATTTCACAGACATTAATTATGAACAGCAGTGCCATGACCTCTCAGAGAGATTGGAGGACTCTGTACTGAAAGGTACCTTGAATTAATTTTATATATATATAGATATATAATTAGATATATCTACTGTCTTGTGGTAGTTCTAGGATACATTTACACACCGAAGAATGATAAATAGCAATAAACAGCATTATCTACATATTTAGTTTCATCCTATTGAGTGAATTATTTTGATTTTGTTCACTACAAGGATTTGTGCAGATTAATGCACTGATTTTTTTCACTTCAGTGACTTTCTCTGGGTTAAACCACTGCACCCCATCCAAGTCTTGATGCAAGTCTTTTGAAGATTTGTTAAAAAAATAATCATTTTAAAAATACACCACCTAAATTCACTTAAATGAATCACACTTTTAATCATAATATTTTATACTAAGATTTAAATCAGAGAATATATACATATATATTTAATAATTAGTATTATCATGAATATTATAACAGTATTATAATAATAATTATAGTTAATTAAAATTAATACATAAATATTATAATGTATAATTAAGTTAAATATTATTATTATTAATGTTGCATATTGTAAATATTAAAGTATGTTACCCTACCCTAATTATTCTTGACAGTAAAGGTAAAAGTTGAAAATAAAATTGTCCATCCTTCAGGCATGCAGGCTTCCTCTAGTGGTCTCGTCAAGGCGGACGAGGGGCCGAGTCGCAAGCGTCCAACACCAACAGACAGCCAAAAGAAAACAAAGAAGAAATGTTTCTGGTGAGCTGATTTCACATGTGAAGAAAATGCTAATCTTGCGGACTAGAATTACAAAATTGCTAATTGTAATATGCCTTTCTTTATATCCAATAGGACTGGCCTTGGAGGACTGGAGGACGTAGGCAGCTCTGATGAAGGAAGTGAAGACAGCGACAGCGAGGCCTCTCCATCCACCTCTGGGGCTTCATGTAGTTCAGATGTTCCCAAACCAGCTGTGCCGCCTTCTGCCACCAGAGAGAGTGAGAGGACAGACCCTCAGGACCAGCCCAGCAGCACCAGCAGCTCCTCCTCCCAGAGTCCCGCACCGAGCTCCCCAACACAGGTGGAGGAGGAGGAGGAGGAGGTGCAGAAGGAGGCCAAAAAAGAGTGTACAGTTGAAACCAGCCAAAACGCCAGCACAGAAGAGGATAAATCACAGGTTGCGCCCACAGAAGCACCAAGCGGCCCAGCCGAGACCAGTCAGGCACAGGAAGAGGTGAGATGTCCTACTTCTAATGTGGATTTTCAAGTTGGAAATGTTTTTTGATAATACTGACCTGTCTTTCGTTCCCTTCAGGTGGAGGGACCGTTGGATCTGCTTTCTGTGAGTGGGCCGGAGCAGCTGGAGGCTTTGGGTCTGGAGCGGCTGAAGAAAGAGCTGATGGAACGAGGGATGAAGTGTGGAGGGACACTGCAGGAACGGGCTGCGCGTCTGTTCTCCGTCAAAGGACTTAGTCCAGATCAGATTGACCCTGCGCTCTTGGCCACCAAGGGCAAGAAGAAATAACCTGCGTTTCTTAAGCCAGTGTTTTTGACCTGTTTTGCTTTGCTTGTGTTTGGTATGTCTGTAGTTATTTTTAAAGTTATCGTTTATAAAAATCTAACACCTAATTTTGAAAAATCCCCAGTTTGGGATAATAATGAGTGCTAGATTTTTTTTCTCCTCAAATTAGAATTACATTTCTAGTCAGATACAAAGAATTTGGATTGAACTTTAAAGTTGAACTTTAATCCACAATATATGGCATTTTATTTATTTATTTTTTTTTTCTTTTAGTCTGTTAGTAAAACATGCCAAGTAACATAAGGTGAAACTCAGGTTAACTTTTTTGTAATCTGTACAGCAAATTCTTTATGATGATAATTCAGTCATTGTAAATAGATATTTTGATTCATACAGAGACATTATGGGAATCAGTCATATGTTTATGATGTGGGTGGGAAGTTATTCAACGATTCATCTATTTTCTAACAGCTAACCAACAGATTGTTCACAGTATTTGATTGTATATGTGATCTGGTCCATTTATTCTTGACTTTATGGTTAAGTAAAATAGTGTTGCACAATTTTGTGTCCTGTTTGTTGTTATTACTCGGTATCATGTATCTTTAGTGTATAGAATGTAGTGCTGGGCGGTATACCGGTTCATACCGAATACCGGTGTTTATTTTTGTTATGATATGAATTTTTAAAATACCGCAATAAGTATGTCGCTTAAACAACGTTCGGAACGTGACATTGTTTGAAAGGGGTCCCTTTTCACTGGTGCACTGTGGTGAGGGAACAGCTGTATGTGTTACTAAGCGTGAAAGTTCCGAAACTGAAGCTGTAGAACTAATAGAATGTGATGACAGAAGAACTCATCCACAATATCCACATTGACCGCCACAAATATCCACCGCCCCCTGCCATCAGCTCCCGCGTCTCACACACACGAGTGTGACTTTAGCACTAAATTTAGTAACTTTCAGACCCTTTTAGCGGCTTTTTTCCATAGAATATTCATACTGACAAACCTAGCGACTTTTTT